TGGGAGGAGGTTCTTAAAAAAAGAAAAAGGACCCAACTTTTTTCTCTTTAATTAAACACACTTGTTTATTTTTGTGCAGACTAATCCGGCGGGGAGCTGCTGCTCAGATCTCCCCCCTCCGGCCATTAGGGCATCTCTGAACCACTGTAGGGATGGGTGCCTGCCCCAACTTCTTTCCAACAACAGCTTTGGTTGACTCTCAAACGGGGTCCCTTCCCACAGGCAAAAAGCCTGCTCCCGGCGTGTAGGCGAGGAGGGCACAGGGCTAGGACAGCCCCCGCAAAACACCAGCGAATGCCTCCCTAATGGCTTTATTGGAGGGAGAAGATTAGCAGGGAAAGCGCCACGTGAAACGCGCACCCTGGGAAAAAAGAGAGAGAGCCTTCTCCGCCCACCCCCCGCTCTCCCCTGCCTGGGAAACTAGAACCGAATCCACTCAGATCCCGTCGGACCTGCAAAGGATTTCACTGTCCCGCCCCTGCCCCCGATGTAACGCCAATTCCGATGGATTAGCCACGTGGGGGAGGGCAGGCGGATTGAAGCCCCACGTGCTAATCGGTGTGACAATTAGCAGTGTCTCCTCGCCCAAAACCACTGCGCAAGAGTTGAAATAGAAAGAATTGGAAAGGCTAAAGACAATGACAAACAAAGAAGACAATGAAATAGAAAGGAAGAAAGACAGTTTTTGAAAGACAATTAGATAGAATTGGAAAGGCTAAAACTATATATATAATATGACAGAATACATAATATGACATAAAAATCAGAAAGGTTCAAGACATATGTGTATGTATATATATTTTTATATGTGTGCGTGTGTGTATATATAATGTGTATATATGTGTATGTATAATATGAAATAGAAAGAATTGGAAAGGCTAAATACTTTATATATATAATGCCATATGTATAATGTGAAATAGGAAGTTGGAAAGACTACAGACATATATATACGTGTCTATAAAGGCTGTCTATAAAGGCTAAAGACATATATATGTCATATATACATGTAAGTCATATCTTTATAGACATGTATATGTCTATAAAGGCTAAAGACATATATGTATGTCTGTATACATACAGACATACACACACACACACATACATACATATATGTCTTTAGCCTTTCGAATTTTTTCTGTCATTCTTTCAAAAATTGTCATGTGTATAGATAGATAGATATCCTTTGCATATGCGCGTGTATGTGTATACATATCCTTTGCATATGTGTGTGTGCGTATGTATGTGATATATATCCTTTGCACGTGTGTGTGTCTTTAGCCTTTCCAGTTCTCCTATTCTCTATATTAGTTCATATACCTGTAATGTTTGTATTATGGAATACAATGCCCCTATACATCTATTATTATATATCGCACATATATAATGTATTCATTCTTGGGTCGAAGGCTAACTTCCTCTGACACTATTCACCAGCCCTCTCCCGAGTACCCTTTACACTAGATCTGTAGCAGGACCACGACAGAGCAACAAACACACGGATCAGCCAGACACTAAAAAGCACGATCGACAGTTAAAGGAAATTCCTCAGGATTTTTTTTTCATGGGCTTCCCAAGCAGATCTGGGCTACAGCTCGCATGGGACATCTTCCCCTCCTTCTCCCCTAAATCGGTTCCCACCATCAGGTACCTCCGGCTCCTTCTTCTTGCCTGTAATCATCTCGAGAGCAAGGGGAGGTGTTCTGCAAATGAGCCTGGAAGTCCAAACAATTAACGTGAAGGAGAGAATAGGAGTGGAAATGCGTGCAGCTCAGAATTTACAAATCAGCACTGACTTGCCCATTTTCCAAACAACCGCCTCCTTATTGTTACAACCAACTCCAGGCGAGATTTGTTATATTAAGGAGACACGGGCTCAATTTAGCTTCTTTTGAAGCTCTGGTATTTCGACGCTTTCTTTGCTGCTTTCTTGATCGTTCATTGAAATGCACCCGTTGGACGTGACAAACCGCATCCCCACTTTTCTTTCTTTCTTTCCCAGGGTTAGTGCCCTTCATCAGGTTTGGATATCTCAGCGGGATTTTAATCACTGCTCCCCGGGAAATGATGCAAAGAAATGATTTTGCGTAGTTTATCTCAACTTGTATAACATGTCACAGACAGCAGCGCTTGCCTTCTAGTAGGTGTCTTTTATAACGGGGAAACCTGTCATCTGTTTAAAGCCGCCTGTTTCTATTGCCCGAGCTTGTCTATTTAGCAATGTCCCGATGCTTACACAAAGCATGAGCTGCACTCTTCTAATGCCGAAGCTAATTAAGCTCCACGGCATTGCATCGCCGTCACAATCCCCCAAATACATGTCTGGGAATGACATATGTCCAAATGAACAGCCTGGATTTTCCCTACACAGGTCTGTGCACAGGAGAGACTGTTTGATGCATAGGATTGACACAACTCCCCCCAAAATAGGATATTGGAGGCTAGGAAGGTAGACCCTCTGTTACATCTGTATTCTGGAGTTGATTTTGCCCCTCTTAAATAGGAGTTCATCAGGGCTGGTTTTCTCACTGCCCGTTCAGGGACTACCCCACACTCGCTGGTTTGAATGGCTCTAGATTTAACACAGCCCTTTCCCTGAGCTGGTACATATGACTTCAAAGGGAATGGGGGTCTAGGTTGTAGCCCTGTTGGTCTAAGGACATAGGCAGACAATGTCTTTGGGTAAATCTCCTATCTTTTATTAGACCAACTGAACTAGTTGGGGGAAAAAATCTTCTTTGCAAGCTTTCGGGTACAAACGCCTTTCGTAAGGCTGAGGAAGCATGTGCAGTTGGTGTATTTGCTCTTCCTGGGTGGAAGGGAATTAGCGTCTTCCCCCGGCTCCACAAAGCCCTGCCTGGGATGATCTAGTTGGGGCTGGTCCTGCTTGGAGCCTTGATCTTCCAAACCTAATATTTCCATGGTGCTACAAACAGTATGGCATGTCCATATTCCCCCTCCCCTCCAAAAATGAGGGCTAGATCCCGTCTTAAAACAGCTCTGACACACACAGAGCACTTGTTCCAGATGTACTTGGGGACGTTTAGCTAACCCTTCAGTGCTTTCTTCAGGGATTTCTTTTCGAGGGGGGCAGAGGAGGCTGATTTAGGAACCTCCACCCTGTGGTTCCTTCCCTTCTTCCCAGCCCTACTGGCGGTTCAGAGCAGCTCAAGCTGGAGCAAGCAGCTGAGGACTTGCCCACCTCAGCACTGGCTGCGGGCAACCCGGGGGAAGTTTGGCCGATCAGCTGCGAGCGCGTGAGTCAGAGAGAGAGAGGTCTGACCAGGTGCTCATTTCTATTTCCTTTGATTCCCCCTGCTCCCCAAACCTCCCCCCTTCCTGCTCTCTACCCCCTCTCCAGGCTGGAGCTGAATGAACCCATCGCTTCCCCTTATGTCTCCTGCCTGTGGCAGCCAGGGAAGCTCGGGTGAGATGCGAGGAAAAAACTCTCTCACGAGGAGGAGGTGAAGCCCTGCACCGGGCTACCCAGGGAGGCGGTGGCATCTCCCTGTTGGAGGTATTAAAACCACTAGACAGAGCCTCGGCTGGGCTGATTTGGGTGGGAAAGGTCCTGCTTTGAGCAGGGGGGTGTGGACTAGATCAGTGGTTCTCGACCTTTATTGTACCAGGACCCGTTAAGGGCTCCTCAGTCCCACCCCGCACTGTGTGGGGCAAGGGGGGCCAGCCGGAGGGCGGGGGGACCCACGGTTTCCCACGCGTCTCTCCGTCAAAGGAGAACCCGTCTGTAAAGTTTGTGGACCCGTTTTTAAAGTTTGGTCCTATGTTCTTCTATTGACTCCTCCGTGAAACCCTATGAAATATGAACTTCCATTTCTGCCCAGGAGAACTTTTACAATTTTTTCTCCAGTGCCTGATGAAGGGTGTTTGTGCCCAAAATCTTGCAATTAAAGACTTTTTTCCCCAAAAAATCTTGTTGGTCAAATAAAAGATATCATCTCTACTATGAGTCCTGATTGCTACAGTTCTAAAATGCATTATACACACAGTAATCACACAGCCTGTGTTTTAGGGTCCAGCTACACAATCAAATTAAGGCTGGATATTAACAAGCTATAGAGTTGTTACACATTTTCAAATACTAACTTTATAGGCGACTGGCTCTCTTATATCTGGTCACTTTTATCATGCAATAATTACTTAGCACATGTGGCTGGTCTAAATTCATTGTGTGGTTAACCAGTTAATTGTGTGATAGTTACATTGTACATGTAGCCAGGCTTACTTTGCAGATGTGACCAGTCTAAATTTGTTGTAAGATTGACCAGTTAATTGTATAATGTATGTAATGCACAGCAGGGACCTTAGGGCTAAAGTACAGACAGTCAAAAAAAAAAAACTGAGGCTGAATCAATTCAATCTTCACAAGTTAGTTTCTAAATTGCATATTTGTAGTACTACAGT